ACTCCAAGAAATGATGATCACAGACAACCCTTGCTGAAACCATTTGCAAGGAAATGGGGAGTGTTCGGAGATTATAAATAAACCCACCTCATTGCTTCAAAGATTCAATTTCAGAATAAGAAAATGTTATTTTGTCATTTTCCCAACACCTCCTTTCTTCATAATCGTTTATAGAAGAAGCTTCATTGGCGTACTCAATGCAGTCCTTTGGATTCGTGATTTCTTTTGACTGAATATCAAGTAGGCCTTAGTACATTGTGTGTTCCTTAAAATGATGGGGCTTCTGGTCACTATGCACTGCGCTCATAACTTCGATTAGGATTGCTTCAAAGGTGCCTTTTCTGGTCAATATTTCATACAGGGAGGACATACGGTGGAACAAGGAAGCTTCGAGCACCGAAAACCATTATGAAATTGCATCCAGACCCTAGATATATGTATTTAGTTGCACACGATTACAACTCGAAACAATATGCATTGTATTCAACAATATATAAGTCGATCAGGACATTATATAATTAGTTGTGAAACTTTCTATTGTCCATGAAAATTGGTAAAATACCTATAATCTATAACTACTTGTGGTTATATATAAAATTGTTTACAAACTTTCAGTCATAGTTATAAATTATCACTATTAAAAATCTTACTAGAATATTCTTACAATTCTAACATACGTATAATCTACCCAATCACACACATTAATTAGTGCAAACCTAGAGCAGTCTTGAATGAAGAATTGTCGGAAGAAATGAAAATTTCTGAAATTATCATACACCTATACAATCTTGTGTATATGGATTCAATATAGCAATCTCAAACTAATAACACGTCGAAAAATAATAAATATTCATAAGAAATATGTATGAACTATAATCCACCATATTCTATTTTTTCCTTGGAATAAAAAATTAAAAACTCCAAACTTCTTTAGGAAACTATACAACCACTCACATTTTGTTTCTTCTAACAAATCAACCAAACAAATCACAAATAAACATGCATCAATCAACTTAATGTGTTTTTTCCGGTTCATTCAAGATGTACCTTAATACTTCCGGGAATATTCTCAACCTTTGATGCCCAATGATTGGATCAAGTTGGCTTTCTTCGGTTGGTGGATGATCTTTTCAAATATACCTTTTGTCTTTGCATGCTGGACAATCTCTTCGAGAATCCTGTCCTCAATATCCAACCTCTAACAAACTTGATTACCAGCTAATATAGACAAAGAATTCGTATGTAGCATATAAAAGATTCTATTAGATAGGAACTTTAATAAAATTAATATCGTGAATTTAAATAATTCACAATAATGGACAAGTGCGACGAAGAGCAGATGTTGGGATCATATCTAGGGTATCAATCAATAGTGTAAGTATCCTTAGGGTAAAATCGAATTTGATAATTGTTTTAGAAATAAGTTATGTTGGAAGAAGTGTAAAAACTAATTTGCCAAACTATCACATACTGAGAAAAAAAAACTTTTTAAAAAAATAATCATATCAAATAAAGGAAGATAAGTTTTTTTTTAAAAAAAAAAAATTAAATAAATAAGGATTACATCTATTGAAATACTGGTTTTAATAGGTGGAAATCTAGAGATTAAATAAAAAAGAACAGATGTTTACCTGCTTAGATTAGCCAAATCAAATTAGAACACAAGCTACCAGATAGCTGCAGGAAATTAAGCTACACTAAAGATGAATAAATTAGTATTCATTCACATTCGAAAAAAAAAAAGTGACGAACTGGTAAAAGTTCATCCAGGTTGAAAGGTATATAGATACACATATATATGCATACAACCTCTCTACACCTGCCGCATATCTTCCTTTGACAAAATGTTGATTTGAATGACTGTTCTTCAAAGGTTTTTTTTTTTTGTGTGAGGAGAAAGTGAGGGGTGTTGGAATTAGAATAATTCAAACAATAATTGCAAAGGAAAAGTAGAATAAAAAGGTTTTTCTTATTATACTTTACAATATACTACCACCCAAAGAAAATACAAATACCAAAGAACAGATAAGAAATGACACCTTTACAAACCGACGCAATTTAGAAACTATTGAATAACATCATAGAAATAATAATAATAATAATAATAATAATAATAATAAACACTTTGAATCAGGATCAATAATTTTTAACACTCCCCCTTATTCAAAGTTGGTAACATAAAGGCGTGCGCGAAGTTCTTCGAATCTTGCAACAGGCAATGGTTTTGTGAATAGATCGGCAAGTTGGGTTGATGTGTTGCACAATATAAGATGCACACTTCCTACAGTTACCAAATCACGAATGAAGTGATGCTTTGTCCGGCCATGCATTATTGGATTTTTGGCAATTGCCAGGTGAACTATCACAGTATATCACAGTTGGTTCTTTCTGCACTTGATTTAGATCTTCAAGGATTCTTCTTAACCAGACTGTTTGGCATGCAGCAGTTGCAGCGGCTACTAAAAACTACTCGGCCTCCGCAGATGACAAGGCAACAGTTGATTGTGTTTTAGAAAGCCATGAATTTTATTGTTAAAAAATAACTGGTTTATGTGTGTATGTGCATGGGTGGATCAGTTTTTACCAAATAAGAGATATATATAATTAGATATTATTTTGAATATTTGATGTGGAGAATTATGATCAAACTTATAATTGCTTAATATTTATTGTGAAATTTGTAAATTTTGTTGAAAGTCAGAAAATTATAACCAATTTTAATATGTACTTAAATTGAATAATCATAAATTCAAATCTATACATCATATGATTATATTTTCTTTTATTACAGAACATTTCTTATTACTTTATTTTTTAAATAAAATTTATATAAAAACCAATAAAGTGAGACCAATGAAATGATACATAATTAGAATGTATTACTCAAATTAAATACAACATCATATATTGAAATGTATAAGCAATGATGCAATCCATATTTAGGGCTGTTGTATGCTTTGAAGGCTGGCACTTTGGGGCTCTAGGCCTCTGCGTCTTCCCTACCATTTCGGCCTTCATTCGGGCTATAGCCCAGGAGACTATTGGCATATCTTCGGGCTGGAGCCAAGGCTATATTTCGGTCAAAGTTTACAAAAGGAAGAAGATGATTAAACATAAATTCCATCGATTGCGCTACGGCCATTTGGCTGATGACAGCCGTGGAGGGAAGGGGAATCTGCCTCAAAACATCAATAACTGCTGAAGGTTGGTGCCTAAGTATTAGTCTGCCCCTTTCAACTGTCTCTATGTCGAAGGCCGGTTCGAGGGACTGGCCGCGGATGCTCACCCGATGCAGGCTGCAACAATTAACCAATATATAGTGGTAAGTGATGCCCAAATTTTTTGGGTTGAATAAGATTGATCTCTATTGTTCTCTGTGCACATTTACATGCAGTATTACAAAGGCAAAGGTTGTTTAAGTACCAATGATAGTGTTGGGATATGAAGCCTGATTATATCCTAAAATCTAGGGATATGATTTGAATATTATATTTTAGATTTTAGAGATATGATTTGGATATCATTGTCAAAGGCTTAGGCTATAAATATCCATGTATTTTCACTTTAACATGTGCCTGCGTATTTTATACTAAAATTTCTGACTTGGCAGCGCCCCCAGACGTAGATCATTGTGATCGAACTGGGTTACCAAATTTTTGTGTTCATTTGTCTTTGTTGTCTCATCTTGATTTCCTGGAAATTTCCGTAACAAGTGGTATCAGAGCCTAGTTCGTTGATAGGGTGGATTGAGAGGAATCGGACGTTGGATCGTTGTGGGAATCCCTTGTGACCTGCGGAGGTGCCTTGTGTCGAAAGTCTCCTGGCGGTGTTGGGTCGGTCCCGACTGGTAGGTCAGGCAGCGAGTCCCTTTGTGATAGGCGGTGCAAAGTTGGTAGGGAAGGATAAGGGTTTCGGCAAACGCAGCGGAATATCCGATGTGCTCTCATATCAAGTGAACCTTAGATAGAAGATTACATGTATGGTAAAGATCTAGATGCGGTATTGAAGGAGAAATTCGAAGACATGGATGAAGCCGAATACAAGAAGATCGACAGGAAGACGATGAGTGCGGTTCGACTAACCCTTTGGGAGAATGTCTCGACTGAATTTAGATTTGAGGCAAAAGGGAAGGGTGAAGATCAAGAATGGTCAAAGTTGAAGTCGAAGAATAAGGACAAGGAAGATGCAAGTCAGGTGGTATATTGGAACTGCAAGGGGCATTTGAAACGACAGTGCAGGGCGCCGGAGAAGGATCAGGGTTCAGCAAACGCAACGGAGGAGATATCCGATGCGCTGATTCTGAGCGTCAGCAGTCCAATGGAGTCATGGATTTTGTTCGAGCGTCATTCCATTCATGCACTAATTTGAGAATCATGGAATCCTATACCACAGGTAATTTTGGTGTTGTCTATCTTGGAGATGATGAGACACTGAAAATTGTAGGTAAAGGAATGATTCGAATCAGAACACCGAATGGTGGGGAGTGGAGATTGGATGAGGTATGTTGAAGTGGAAAATGAAATCAGTCTTCAAGTGGGAGATTGTTGGGATATGAAGCCTGATTATATCCTAAAATCTAGGGATATGATTTGAATATTATATTTTAGATTTTAGAGATATGATTTGGATATCATTGTCAAAGGCTTAGGCTATAAATATCCATGTATTTTCACTTTAACATGTGCCTGCGTATTTTATACTAAAATTTCTGACTTGGCAGCGCCCCCAGACGTAGATCATTGTGATCGAACTGGGTTATCAAATTCTTGTGTTCATTTGTCTTTGTTGTCTCATCTTGATTTCCTGGAAATTTCCGTAACAGATAGTATAAACTATTCCTTGGGTCTCTTTGCACCATCCCCAAGAGTTCGATCTTCGAAACCCTCCCACACATAGAACTGGTTCAGGCAGTGTAAATGTTTGCTTGAGGAGACTCTGGCCATATGCAATTCATATTAGAGCAAATGTAAGTTATTATTTCAACCAAAAATCATTTGGAATTAGGACAACTGCCAGTGCATAACCTGTTCCATGGGGAATTGAGGCGATGTATAACCCCAGACGAAGTGGTCATCCTTTATATCCCCCGGCAAGTTAATGTCCTGGTGTGTTTGATATTTTGGCAACGTACTATGCCCCATGCTTAATTGGAGTGACATAGCAGAGAATATATATTGTCTATTACCATAATGTCCTGAAAGGGAATGCAAATAGGATAGAAGAACTCAGTTAGGATTCCCAACATAAAATAGGATGAACATAAATGTGTCGAGACACTGGAAAGTATAGAATACCAGGAGAAGGCTGGATTTGAATGTCTGATACAATGCAAACTCCGCCATTGAGTTTGAAAAGTATGGTCTCAGACACATTAGCGTCGGTGTGCCCTTTGCTCGACCAATACATTTTGTTTGGGAGGAGTGCATGAATGATGCTCTTTCCTATATAATGGCTTGTAGAAGAAGCTCCGATGACAAACCCAATGCAATTCTTTGGATTAATCATACTTGCTTTTGACAGAATAGCAAGGAGGCTTGAGTACAGTTTGTGTTCCTTCCGAAGATCATTGAATCTTGGAAGATGGTGCTTCTTCCTCTGGTTCATAATTGCGTCGCAGTAGCTTGTATTCTTGAGCATTGGAGCTCTCCTTCGACAAGCTGTTTTTGCGATGCCATTTTGGACAACTGCAAAACAAAATACGTGTGTAAAAATGGATAAGAGTAATTTCTCTAGCTAACATAATGATAAGCTGTGTATATTAGTGTTTACACATTTCATTATGCTTGAATATAATAATACTAAAAATAAAATTCAGTAATAGACTTGAAAGGAAAGATAAAATAAAGAATGAAAACAAAAATTTAGTATGTATGTATCTAACGGTGTTGAATTGCAATTAGGGTGTGTTCTTTAGACAAACTTTACAAAAATTTACTATTCCTCAAAATTCATTTTTCATATATTCTTCTAAAGATCAAATTTATATTCAAAATATTTTATCAATATCTATTCACATCACATCATATAATTATTTAAATTAAATTTATAGATATTCAAATCCTAAACCAAAATCCAATGCCCCCGACAAACACACCTCTACGTGCATTGCATACGATAGTAGATTGTTCAATAAAGTAACCATATCAATTGTTGTGAAGCTTTTAAATATTAGAAATGTTATCATATTGTCTATGAAACTAGTAAAGTGACTATAAGCAATAAATTTTGGATATATCTAAACAATATTATTATTATTATTATTATTATTATTATTATTATTATTATAACGTGAGAACATGCAGCCCCTACCTTTCGGGTGCGCTTTAGGTAAACCCCCGGCCGGATATAAAAGCCTGCAAGCTTGGCCCGACAAGGCAAGTTGCACTAGGTGAATCATGTGTGGTAGGCACTACATAGAGGCATCGGGGTTTGATAAACAATAGTAATTTTGATTGTATTATATCCTTTATTTGAGTATTCGTGACAACCATGCTTGCTCTTTTTTTTTAGTACTTTTTTATTATATTCTTAATCGTGTAACATTCATGTCAAGAATTAATAATAACGTGATAATCGAATATTTAGATTTGAATACATCAAATAATAATATATTACCAAACATATGTAATATTTTAATTATCAAAGGGTTGTAGAAACATTGAGTAGATGTTCATGAAAAAATAATAATAATAAAAACAATTTAAAGGTTAAGTTGGTCATCAATTCACCCTACATGATAATTACATATAAACAACATGTCAAAATTAGGTGTTTGGTTGATGAAATCAATAAAAAAATCTTGATCCCCAGCTACCCGACAAGAAGATCGTATGTAACATATAATGATCAAGTGTCTTTGTTGAGTCTATTTGACGGGAACTTCAATAACAATGAATGTGTGCATTTGAATTACTCACCAAAATGGTACCATGTACGAGTAACAGCTGACATTCGGATCATGTCAACGGGATCAATCAATAGCGTAAGGATTGTAATAATGATCTCCATTGGTAGATAATCTAGAAAGTCTGCCATTGTAATATTATATTCACTGAAAAAGTAGTCAACGTCAAAATCTTAAAAGAGATCGAAAACAATGACAAAGCGTTGCCATTCAGACAATAATGGAACTATAAGTGTAAAATTGCATAGGAAGTTGATCCTCATACCGCAGTACTAACACCAGTAAAATATCTATCTAGTCGAGTGTAGGCACTAGTAGATTCAGTTTCTCTCATCCGGTTGGAACTCTATTATCTCCTTTGTTGAGTAAGGTTTCTAAAGATCATAAGTTTTTTTTTTTTTATAATCTTCACAATAGAAAGTATGGAAAATCTTGACCTCAGAGAATTCACATGAATTTCCGTCTCAAGAAATCAACTCACCCTTTTGCACCACAAACTATGTGACACACAGGGGTTGGTTTTCTTATTGTGTTTGACTGAATTAAGGTTATTAATGCACTTGCAACCTTGGAGATGCTTTATATATATATATATATATATTCACAATGCAATTATGTTATTTGGCTTCAAATTAAGCCCAATCAAGGGTGAAAATCCACAAGGGTGTAAAGATGCAGAGATGCGGAAGCTGCCTATTATAGTCTGCTGTTGTCAGGCTAACATCGACGTGCAAGAGAATTCTGCGTATTGTTGCCATTGCATAATTTGCTTGGTTCTTGTCAAATTTGTTTGTTTATTTCTATTGTCATGTCTCTCAATTATTGATTGGCGTATTAGCGCACGAGGAATAAAAATATGGGATGTTGCATGATTTTATTGTTTTGTAGATTTGTTTGATGGGTTTGTTGCTAGTCACAAATCATGTTCTATCTCGTTCCTTGTAGATATGTTTATTCTTGTTGTAGTATTCTTAATTATTTTGCGACTATTGCGTTGGTCATTTCTTTTTGGTGATATGTCACATTGAAGACAATTGGATTCTTAGTCAACTTGGTTAATTGTTCGTTTATTTCATAGGAACATACTATAGTTGGAATGTGCATTTGATCCGTGGAACTTTTAATACTTCTACGTGTGAATATATTGTTTTATGTCAAACCCCTTCAAGCATGTCTTAATAATATTGTAACTAATTTTTAAATTACAGATTTATAGTATTGTGCAATTAAGATCATCATAAATTAATTTAGACCTGCCTTGTCATTTATGCAATTAAGAGCAGCATAAATTGCTTTAGAGCTATTGATTTTTTCTGATTTTCTTGATTTGAAGTTATTTGGTTTGGAACTGTTATAAGGAGTTAAATGCAATTAATTATGGTAAATTAAATGCATCACATACTATACTTTAGATATCCAAGGGGGTTAGCTTAGGTTCCCAGTATTCATCATATTTGGAATGACCAAAAAAGTTGTTCATTACAATAATATTAATGGGCTTAAATAAAACTAAAATAAAAAATTGCAAACAAAACCCAAGCGGAAAACACTTCAAGAATATATCATTAATCCTGACTTTTCTCTTTTTCGTCATCTTCTCTCCCTCTCCAAATCCCGAAAACTCAGTCGCATTTTCTTGTCGGAAGTCTCTCCCTCTTCTTCTCACTCTCCCTCTCCTTCTCTCCCTCGCGAAATTATCCACCTGAATTTCACGAACAGAGCTCAAAGGTGTGTATGTGTTTTTGTGTATCCATCGACCTTTCAAATTTTTTTGGAGCCACTTTTATCGAGCTACATCTCCATTTCTCTGAATCGGAAAGAATGATTAAAAAATCTTTGCTTTGTAGCTTAATTTCTTGCAAATTCATGGTTGCCCTTGTTCTTCTTGTTTGATTTGATTAATTTAGGCAAACACTACAGATTTGTATCCATTTCTTTGAGTTTTAGATTTCCACATACTATTGGTGAAGTCTCTTTTTATTTTATTTTACTATTTTTTGAAAGAAACCTCTTGTACTTCATTTTATTTTCTCTTTCTTTTAAAGTTCCTTTTTTATTTTGACTAACATACAAAAGGGTAAAGATAATAAAGTTCAGTAATTTCCATTAAAAAGACAAGGGTTTTTCTTTCTAAAAAAAAAGTCCCTGGTGGTATGAAATTTGGGCATTCATTTCAATAACATCTATTTACACTTATAGGCCCCTTATTGTCTGTATCACAGCCTTTTATCAAAGGTTTGTATCTGTTTTTTTATATATATATGTCACGCTACTGCATTCTCAGAAATTTTTATTCCAGATTATATTATCCAATAGTCATTTCAATCTTTCGCAATGCATATAATATTACAATGGCCGATTTTTTGAATTACTTACCAACGGAGATCGTTCTTACAATCCTTTCGCTATTGACTGATCGCCTACACTGATTCGAATATCTTCCGTTAGTGGCACCTTGTACAATTTTGGTGAGTTATTTAAATGCACACATTTATTTTTATTGAAGTTCTTATAAAAAAAGACAAGACAAAGGCAATTGATCATTATATGTTACATACGATCTTCTTGTATGCTAGCCTTATTGATTTTAGCAAGTGAGAAATTAATTTTGACATGTTGCATTTATGTAATTATCATAGAGTGTGCTTAACCTCTACATTTTTATTTTTTTTTCAACACCTACTCATTGTTTCTATTACCATTGACAAACTCTAGTGTAAACATTCGATTTTTGCATGATCACTAATTCTTCACATGAATGTTATATGAATTAGAATAGAATTAGAAAATGCTGAAAAAAATGGCAAAGCATGACTGCCACGAACATTAAAATGAACGGTAAAATTACTATTGCTTAGATATATACAAAATTTATAGCCTATAGGCACTTTACTAGTTTCAGCGACAACATAATAAGATTTCTAATATTTTTATTGACCGTAACATACGAAGGGGTAAAGATCAATAATTTCCACGAACACAACAAGGGTTTTCTCTCTAAACAGGTCCCTTGTGGTATGAAATTTGGCCATGCATTTCAATAACATCTATTTACACTTATAGGCCCCGTTATTGTCTGTATCGCAGCTTTTTATGAATGTTTTGTATCTCTTATATTTATATATCATGCTACTACATTCTCAGAAATTTTATTCCAGATTATCCAATAGTCACTTCAATCTTTCTTACAAGATGTTGACGTTGATTACTTTTGCAATCTATATGATATTACAATGGCAGATTTCTTGGATTATCTACCAATTGAGATTGTTCTTACATTCCTCAAGCTATTGATTGATCCCCTACACTGAGTCGATTATCTTCCGCTTGTCGCACCTGGTACCATTTCGGTGAGTTTTTTAAATGCACACATTTATTGTTATTGAAGTTCACATGATCATTAATTCTTCACATAAATATTACATGATTAAGAATTTATTAGCAAATACTAAAAAGAGAAATAGCAAAGCATTACTGCCACAAATACTAATATATTCATGCAGACTGAAATTTCTAAACACTAATACACACAAAAATAGCAAAAACAAATACGAGAAACACCTGGAGAAGATTCCGCTTCAATATCAATTACCTCTTTTACTTGCATTCGACTTTAGCTTCCTATTTTCTGCACATCAGGACACACTCGATTGAAAAACCAAACAGAAACGCAAATTTCATCGACAAGAGCCATCAAACATTGGTAAAATCGAAGAGGAACCTGAACCTGAGCATCCTTCCTAAGCAGGCGAAACCAGCAAGTCATTTCTTAACCCTTACCTTCCCCTCCAAACACTTTTTTCACCTCCAAAAACTTTGATCTCCGGCTCAAACCCCCACCAAATTCATTGATTACGACCCAATTTCGTTTTTGGTCATGTTTTGGACAAAATTAGAAACACTTTATTCGTCTTAGTCCCTCTCCCTTCCACTCTCTTATTCTCACCGGAAAACCTTTCAGGAGCCCTCCTTCAAGTCAACAATTTGTCAAAGGAAAGTTTGTAGCCGGTGCTGAAAGATATTTTGATTGATGATTTAAAAAGAAATTACAAAGCCTATTTATACACAAAAGAAAAGGCTAAGAAAGGTAAATTAACACAATTTCTCCCAAATCAATTCAAGCAAGACTTTTTCCTAGAGCTAATGTTCAGCCATGAATGTGTCTTAGACAAATCCAAAGTAATGACATGATATAGGCTAATTTCTTGCGTGGGGTTACATTTTTGTAATTTATTTATTTATTTTAGACAATGAATTACTATAGTCCTCCAACTTTTATTTTTTAGATCAAGTTTATTTCTCAACATGATCATGGATGTACTTTTTCGAGGTTCGTCTCATTTTTTTTTCTTTAGCTGAATGAATGATTAATTTATTCATCGATGTTTACTAACTCAATTTCTTGCAGATATTTGGTGGCATCGTGCTCTTCTTGTTTGATTTGGGTAATCTAAGCAGGTATACATATGTGATCTTCTTTATTTAATCTTTTAGATTTTCAGAATTAAAACTTAGGTTCCAAGAAATGAAATGCTTATTTATTTTTTTTTTTATAAAAAAATAAAAAAAGAAAAACCCATCTTCCTTTACCTAATATTATTTTCTCTTTCTTTTCAAAGTTCTTTGATTTTCGTCAATGTTATTTTATTATTATTATTTTTTTTCAATATGTGATGCTTTGGAAGTTAAGTTTCACCCTTCGATCAACATAACTAAATTTATTTTTAAAACAATCATCAAATTTGATTTTTACCATTAGGATACTTACACTATTGATTGACTGATTCCCCGAGTACGATCACAATGTCTTTCTTAGTGGCACTTGGTTCAACGGTGGGGTTATCTTGACGTAGGTTTGCCTTGTTAGTTATTTAAATGCACTCATTTATTTTTATTACAGTTCCTATCAAATCGAATCATGGATTGTCTGGTAGCTGGTTGTCAAGTTTATTTATTTGTTTTTATTGATGTCATCAAGTGAAAATTTTACTTTTGCACATTGTGTTATGTTGACTTCTTTGCGCTTATTTTTCACTCTAGGAATATATTGTTTTAAAAGAAAATAATTCTTAGCTACATAATTATCTCCTTGATATTAATTTTA